AGAGCATCATAGAACTTTCAAACGTCCTTGGAGGCTTATATTTGGCCCTTATATTCTCCTACCTCTAGTTACTTTTATGCTCTAGCTGGTCAGTCCAACTCATTTATTCAATACATTGGCCCAGCATCTCAGTTTTGCTCCATCCGGCCAGGTTTCCATTTATTCTGAGGGGTTCGGTGTGACCATGGATCCCTCACCCCACATACTGGCCCCTTGGGGAGGTGCCTCTTATAATTACTGGAAGCTCAGAATTGGAAGAGAGACTGCCTGGATTTGAATCTCTGGTCTGCCACTCATTGCATGACCTAGGACAAGGTCTGAACCTCTTTGAACCTTAATTTCCATGTCTGTAAAAAGGGGATTATGGCAGGGCAAGGTCATAGGACTATGATGAGGCGTAAATGAGGTAATTGACATAAACCATGTGGCACAGAGGCCAGGAGTACATGGTAAGCATTTAATAAAGTTTAGCTTCCATTATTGTGGTCTTTTTGCTAATGACTTTCCCTGCTACTGCATTTTAGTATCTCCTTCAGAATAAAGGACACTCTGAATCCCACCATCTCTAAAATATTCACCCGAGAATATCTTGCTTCTTGAACACATCCTCACTTCCTTCCAGCTCTTCCGTTCAGGTGTTCTCACCAGTCCCGCCTTAAGACTTTGTGGGGCCTCTGCATTCTTCTGACCTGGGCCCCTTTCATTTCTCTCTTCAGCCATGGGCCCTGCGGTCTAACCCTCTGGCCAACAAGTATCATTTCCTTGCTTGGCTGTGTTCCCACGCTCTCAGCAGAACCTGGTCATGGACGAATTTAAATCTCTATTTTCCTTCTACACCTTGGGGCCGGCTCCACGCCAAAGGCGACGGTAGCCTGAATCAAGCTTGCAGCACAGAGGATGTACTGGAGGTAAAGCCTGAACATTGTAGCAAGGCATGTGAAGTTGTCAGTCATTGCTGCTCCTCACTTCCTGCCACTACGTTTCATCAGGGACCTCCATCCCCTCACGCTGTGTCCCGCCCATTCTCGATCATTCGTAATCCTCCGATGCACCTAACTCT